AAAGACACCTTGAGGGAATGGCTAATGATTTTCTAGCTACTTGCTCTAACCACAGAGAAAAAAAAAAGAAAAAAAAAGTACATGGCACATGACCCAACTTTATGAGCTCACCATAAAGGACATACTGAGTACATTACTTGAATTTCTGTTTCCACCTCATAGAAGGCTGATTTAAACAGAAATAAATAATGAGCCAGTTCTTTATTTAGGTGTGGCAATGACATCTATGTGACATGCCATATCTGAGGTAAATCTCCATTCATCATATACAGCCCTGTCCACATTGTGAGATAGTTTGCAATAATGAAAAGAAATATTAGTTTGTTCTCCCCAAAATTATTATTATTATATTAATGTGGACTAATCCAAATCACTAGTTTCCATTATTTCATAAATCTGAAAACAAAAATAACCAAAAATCTATCACTACCACATACCCAACCCTGCACTAATTCTCCCCTTTGATAACAAGGGAAGATGTACCCAAACTGGTAAGTGAAAACTAGGTTAATGTTACATTTAATGTAAAATATAGTCCAACGCCTCAGAAAACTATGCAGGAAAGATGTATACAGGCATCATAAAATGGTGCACAGTGTTTAGGTTTGGACAAAAAATAATTGGTGGTAGCAAAATCATAGGTCAAGTAATTCTATTTTCAAGTAGGGAATGCCTTCATCATTCTAATAGTACCTACCCTCAGAGCACAGAAGCAACAAACAAAACAGACAAGCAGCAATTTTAGTTGTGCTTTTGGGAACTAGCATGGCAGTCTCAGCAGCAAACAACAGGATTAGAAAGCCTCCAACCTCTTCTTTCAGTAGTTTGGACTGAAAAAATACAGTGGATGTTTCCAAATCTCAGCTCTCCTCACACAGAAACAAACTGTCCTGTAGTTAGCGGTTAGCTAGCCTACCCCAACCCTCTTCTCTAATGGACAGTCATTTCAGTGCTGTGTATTTGTCTTCAACTCAGTTGCGTGCATTTCCACCCTGTACACACTACAGAACCATAAGCACTCTACTGCACTGAAGTAAAGCTACCACTTATTGAAAATGTAACAGGCGGGCAGGCACAGGAGGAAGCTACCTGCCGCAGCAGTGTCTCATGACTGATTTTGACCATACCTGACTATTAACATTGTGAAACCTCATAATTGTAAGTCACATTTTACACACATACCAAACATCAAAGTGCTAGTTACCTTGCTTTGCCAAGCAAGTTTAGCTCACCCTCTGTTTCCCGTGTCAATACACCAAATAGATTTCAACTGCAATGGCTGTGCATGCTCTGGACCATTGCACTGGTAATGCTGCAATTACCACCAATGGGAATACCCGCAGACTGAAACAGCCTCAGATTATCACTCTGCACATACTTAAAACCAACACAAAATAACACTGCCACGGAGAGGAAAGGGTCACAGTCTCTTGTGAATCTTCCAACACCTAACTGGGAGGAGAGGAGATGGGGAGATGAAGATGGAAACATGATTGAAAACAACAAAACAAAACAAAAACAAAACAAAACAAAAAAAAACAGAAACAAAAACAAACAAACAAAAACAACAACAAAAACAACAACAACAACAAAATGCCAGTAAGAGTCAATCAATGGAAAAGTAGAAAATGTTTACAGAAAAACACTAATAAGTTTATACGGACCTTCCTGTCAAGTTCATAAAAAACTGTACCAGCACCAGCTAAATATTTCCTTCATATACTTGTATGCCTAATTTGCTTGCTGCAGTTGCTACCTTTAATATTATTGTTTTAAAATCGCTTCTTTTGAAATGCTCTGTTTTCCGGAAGAAGGTTGGTGTCCTTTCTCTGTCCAGCACTCATCTTGGTTCACCATGTTCAAATGTCTACTTTTTTTTTTTTTTTTTTTCTCTCTAAATAGTAGATCAAATTAACTAGGTAACTTCAGTAATGCATGCCACATATCAGGGAAAGTGACAACAATACTAAGGAAGTAAAATGAACAGCTGATTGACTAAAAATTAATGTATTTTGCTGTGCAGTAACTATAATAGGAATGGAATCGTATGACTCCCCATATGGCTTTGCTCCATTCTATCCCCGGGACAGTCTCTCCCATACTCCAAGTTTCATAAGAGAAACACATAGAAGTCAGTAGTTTGTCTTTTTTATTTTTTAAAGAGCAATTTTACCAGGTTCAAGCATGACGACCTTTAAAATTTAGATCCCATTTTCAATCCTCACCAAAACCCTCTGTCCAGTTTTGGTTTCTTTAGGAACTGTTAGTATCTCCCAGTTTTCAAAAAGATAATGTGACTATTCAAAATTTAGCCCAAACAAAGAGCATTGGAATTAGACAAAATCTAAACAGTGTGCTCCAAAATTGTAATGTGCATGATTCATGCTGTTCTTGAGGCCCATAAGCTCTACCAATGTGGGTTTTTTTTTTTTGTTTTGTTTTTGTTTTTTAAATATATTTTCTTGTGTTTTTAATTTTAAAATTTCTCTTCTTGTTTCTGCACCCATGCTCTGACTTCCTCTGGCAGACGTTCTCAGCACATGCTGAATGCACACCAAAAACCATAAACCAAAACCACAATACTTGCAAAGCACTTCAAGAAGCTACCACTTTATTTTAAAACACAGAAGAGAGTTACTGCCAGAATCATCTTCTTAAAGAAAATGTAGGTTCTAGAACAGCTTCCCAGAATGGAAGAGACAACAGCAGTTCCTCTTTTTGTCCAAAGGAAATTTGATATCCACGTTTCCAGAAACTACTCTCATTCCATTGCTATATGTTGATATCTCTGAGAACAGTCTGTGCTCTCTCCACTAGGATAATTTAAGGTCCACAGAGTCACAAGAGTAATATAAAAGCCATTGGTAACCCTGTACTGAACAGAGAACAAACTGGATGCTAATATTTGTGCCTGTTTATGCATTTAACATGGAAGGGTTATTACAGAAATGTCCTTGAAGCTAGATCTAGAATCCACTAATTCTTCTCTGACTGTGGGTCTGGTCTAGCTAGAGGTGAGATATCCAGCTCTCTAGAGACTCTGTATATGTTTTCTAAAAGCCTATTTGGAAGCTTTTTCTTCTACACCTTTGCTTTGTTTCCTAGCCACATTATATCCTGGACAACTTTTCCTCCAGTCTCTTAAAATTTCCTCTCTGACAGAAATTTGGCCTCTGTTTTTGGTACATTCTGTGTCATGGCACTTCACACCTGACATCCGGCTCTTAAATAGTTAACATCAATTCAGGAGTTTTGACCATTAGACTTCCAACATTAACTCTGCAATGAGATTAAGGAGGATAAATTCAGTGCCATTAATTGTTCAAACTCTCCTGCGACAAGAAGACCATAAAACTTCAGTTTAAAGTTATTCTGCATTTAGCTAGATGAGTTAAAATTCAGTTTTAATTAACAATATTAGTTAGTGCGGGCATTGCACTGCAAGGCTAAATGCACTTTGAAGATGAAATAACTTACACTGACAGCTGAAATTCATTTTATCTCCAAATTGCAAACTGTACAGTTCACAAAGTAAAGACAAACAAAGATTACTGAAATTCTATTTCAAGTACAGTTAGTGATTCCTTACCATAGAAGTTATATATATTTTTTTAAAAGATATAGATTTACCAAGCAATGGTGTATATGATTACTTTTTAAATTAATCCTTTAAAGTGGGACGTTTGACAGGAAAAAAAACTAGAGCAGCATATATTTTAATCATCTTCAGCTCCTTAATACTATTCTAACTGCATACATTTCATCCAAAGTAAGCTGGTTAATGATTACAGTTTTCAAATGCAGCTCAAACAACAGGCCAAATTAATTTACTGTGGACATAGATGCTTGCTACCTTCACATCTGATCACAAACTCTGTCCCGATAGAATTAAAGAATGAGCAGAAGATGGCAAAGGGAAAAGGCCAACAATTTTCCCCAAGTAGGTTCCCAGCAATTATGAAAACACGCCTTTGCTGTTCATATCTATACTGGCAGCTTGGATTTCCTGTCTTTGCATCTGTCTATAAGGCATTCAGGAAGGAAGGTTTATATCTTTACATGTTTTCCATGAAGTACTTTGATGACTAATTTCTAGAGTACTGAGTCACACTGACCTTTCACGTACTCCCCCCATCTAAATTGTTTGAGTTTTCCCTACTCCACTTTTCCCATTGTTACATGCCTTTTCCTCATTTAAGAGTATTTAAATCTTCTAGAACAGCTATTTATATTTTCCTTTATTTTATTTTATTTTAATGCAGAGTGGTATCATTGTTTTTCATTGAAGAGTTACAGAAGATGAAGCTCATGCAGATTCTTACAAGTAAAATATTACATAAGTCACTGATAGTTTTCTGCTTTTTTTTTTTTTTTTTTTAATTGGCACCAAGGTCTGCAAGCCCCATTCACTACCCTCTTTATTGCTCAGATGTTTTAGTACTTATGAATTTCCATATACATTATGAGTCAAATTGATTTGTATTAACATCAGCTTAATTTGACTCTTAAAATATTCTTGTACTTCTCCAAGTATTAATTGCTTCCAGTGTTACATACCTTAGTAGGATTTGAAATAGCCTGGCAGGCAACTCTGCCTGAATCAAACCTCCCTTGAAGTTACTGTAGCAGAGGAATTGTTTGAATAAACAGAAGCTTCAGTTCCTGCCCACCCCCCAAACTCCAGCTAATGATCAAAATGAATATATTCGCTTTTTGAATGGCTTTCTTTCAAAGATATTGAACTGCCTTGGTGTTAACAATACCTTAGCCTCACATTCTGACAACCAAAGATTAGTTGTATTAGTATTTGTAAAGTTACATTTACTGCTGTACTGTTTCAGATTTATACAGAAGTCTCCCTTTTTGCAGCTGGACTTGGATTCTAAACATTTGACTACTGTATCTAACACATTTTAAAGAAAACATAACAGTGGACATTCTTTTCTGCCAGCTGAAGAAATAAAGATCTCATGTAAAACAAAGTGTTACAAAGTACTCACCAAACTCCTAGAAACAGTTGTTATACACACAGAGGATTCCTGAATCCGTGCTGAATGCAGTCCTCCCCTACCAAGTCACATTGAAGATAATACGTGGGGGTGTGGTGTAAAGCTACAAAGGCAGGATTGCAACCTGATCTTCCTAGAGCCTGTTGATTAATCAGCTAGTCCTCGTTCTTGCTTTTGTAGAGCACATGGGTTTACTCTATGTACAAGTCAGAGCTCTGCAGCAGCGGCAGGGAAGCTTCCTGTTTCAAGTTTTCATATCTGCTCCCAGTTTAAAGCAACTGTGTTCTAAATGGAGCTAGCTAAACTGAAACACAGTTTTAAAGAACAAGAGACAGCCTGTAGAATATTCGCTTCTTTTTACCTTGCAGACTTTAATTCAAAAGGATGCCATAAGCATTACTTATTTAAGATAGAGATGTAGATTACAGTTCTGCTCTTTTTATCAGTTTTTAAATGAAGCCATTCACTCTAGATCTAGGCTGCTTTCATTACAGTACCTGCACCTTGACTACAAAGGCTATTCTGCCTTGAACAAAATACATACACACAACCTAATTATGAACTGTATTAGTATGTGCTAAAACTAACAGTAAGCATCATCACAGTAGCCATCCCTTGCCTCAGCTACTGTATTATAAGACAGAGACATTGTAACTTATGCACATAAAGACAGTAGACCAGAATCCTAGTCCTGGACACCACTTGAAGAGAATTACCCGGGTAATGAATTAAATAGCAACAGAGACAGAAGGAACAGCTGGAGAACAGCAACTTATACAATTAGTAGCTGTAACCAATTGCAATTGTTTCCAAGCAAAGACAAACAGACGAATTAAAGGGAAGATTTATATTCATATGTTCATCAACATCCCGAAAAAAAATGGAAATTTCTCAAAGTCTGTTAACAGGTTTACATGCTCTGAAACAACCAGAAGTGTTCCTGGTAGCTTCTGAGATCTGTCATTCTTGGATTGTAGGAATGTCTGTAATCCATTTCAAGGCAAAGCCAGTAACTATTTGAGTCCGACTATTAACTGGGTCAATAATCAAATGGATTAACTCTCCTGAAATGGACTAGAAGCGCTCAAAATGTAAAGAGGCAGCTTAAATAGTGGGGGTTGGGTTCTGTCATACAGTTCCTAATTACCAACTCTGAGCTCAGATAAAGGGAGGAAGGAGCAAACCATCTCAGGAGACACTAGGTAAGCAAGCAGTCAGTCTCTCATTTATGTGACACCCAAGCCTTTGAAAAACATTTTGGGAGCCCCTGTGTTAGAAATTGGTTTCTGGTAGAACTATCCACCAATTTCTAAGGTAAGATGGACCAAAACAGATGTACTAAGGTTACATCATGATTTAAAGAAATCTGTCTATACACTTGCAATAGGAACAAAACCAATTGGGCTTCCAATAAATGACAGGTATCTTCCTTTTGCTTTTCTTAAAATGTGGATTAACAGAGATTCAAAGTTGCTCCACTATACTAGGCATTTACAGCAGAACTGCATTATTTTCTGTCATATTGGATACTCAGTGGGCTGAATTTACCAGTCAGTACAAACATATTTCTAATGTAGGGACCTGACATGGTCAAAACTTCAATCTCTCTCTCTCTCTTTTTTAATGGGAAATGTTTTTTTTTTTTTTTTTTTTTTTTTTTGTTGTTGTTGTTGTTGTTTTTTTTTTTGTTTTTTGTTTTTTAATGAGGGTGTAAAAAGTTTCTGAAGGTTTATATCAGAATGTATCAGCCTCATTCCTTATTTTTTCTCCAAATTCTTCCTCAAGTCACGCAAATTTGGTGTGCAAAACAGTGAAGAAATTCTGAATGATGTAGTGCACAGACATAAAAAAACAAGACATAAGAAAATGCTGCAGTACTTAAAGATATTTTGTCTTCTTATGGTCAAATAAGTGGAAAATCATATATAAATAAATCTATTTGGGGGGAAATTTATGTGAATGAACCCCCTATTTTGATACAAGTTATACTAAGAAATCTTTGGTTAATATTAATAAAACAGGATAAAAGTAAAAATATCACCATATGTAAGGGAAAAATGATTATCTAAAAGAAAAAGGCAACAATATTTCATTTTAAGATGAATATTTTTGCTATATATTTTGCTAACATCTCTCCAGCTATCACATTCACTTCTCCTAATTTAATAGTCAAGAAGGTCAACATTTGGAATCCTTTTCATTGCAATTTTAACTAAAACATAAAAAAACTGAGATGCAACCAGGAACAGACTTTGAAGATAGAAAAAAAACAAAAACAAGAAACAAAACAAAACAAAAACAAAACAAAACAAAAAAAAACTGTTTTGAACCTGAAGTGGGATCAAAGAATTCTGTTCCTCTCTGACCTGCTGAGGACAATCACACCGACCTCTGCTCCTGTCTTGCTCTGAAGCTTGCTGACAGCTTGAGAAAGTTGTCAATAGCTAAAGATCCACACCACAGGAAAAAGTCCCTACAGTTCTAACAAAGTTTTTTGGTTCCTTTTTAGGAGTTACTTTCAAGATCAACAAGTAGAAATTTCTGCAAAACACAAAAAGTTACTAAAACACTTTTCTAATGTCCTGTGGGAAGTTGACAACCTTTGGAAATGCAGAACTTGCAAATCATAGAGAAATTCACTGACCTAGCTTCTCCTTAAGACATCTCCCAACTGCTGTTTTTATTAAGTTGCTGTTCTGAAGAACCCAGAAATCCTTACTCAAGGAATTTCTAATCTATGATGACATTATCATTACATTCTCTCTTCACATTTATTTACAACATGTGCCACATGAAACAATTGTCACTATAAAGATTACAATTAATAAGATTACTCTTTCATATGACTTCTGAGGTCTACCCACAGAGTCAGGCTCTGGCCAGTTATGTAACAATAGGAACTGCACAAATTGTTGAATCAGTGTGGATAAAGACCACATAGAGTACACACAAACAACAGGTTAGCTACCAAATCCTGCTTGTTTTGCACAGTTTCCACCTGCATGCAGCAAGGGCAATACAAGCCTAATATTCCAGTCCACTTTACTTGCCACTTTGTGCTGACACATTTGGAAATGACTCAGGTTTCAAAGTTAAATGAAAGGCCAGAGAGTATTTATATGACTCTTCTCCTATAGTCAGGAAAGCTTTTACTCAGGGATTACAACCCCAGAACATCACAGATCAGAGCAGAAAAGGACCAGTAGAAAGGCCTGAAGGACAGCAGATAAGCTCAGTGTTATTGAATGTGTTCAAAATCATTCATATCTTCAACAAATTCTGTTAAGAAATCTAACACAGGCACAGTTTATACTGCATTTCTGCCCAGCAAAAATTCTTACACGTCCACTGTTTTATGGCCTCTATACCTCTCTTCAAATCAGTAAACAGATATATAGTGCCAGCAAGACACGGGGAAAATTAGAGACAATGGTTGATAACTAACTCCATAGCTTAAGAGGACTGAGGCAGCACTCTTCTGGAAAGTCTGTTCTCACTTTGAGTTGGTGGTCACACTGAGAGACTGAGAGGGACAGAGGGAAAGACAGTGAGTGAGCTTCAGATTCAATTTTTTTGGTACTCTGCATCTTTGATTTATTTGTACAAAATAGATGGGCTTTAGCAAAATATGTTATACCTAACCACAGTGCTAAATATGTGGTGCTCAGAAACAAAAATGATGCTAAAATGCCCAATCTTGCTATTGGTTTACTGTGATAAAATTGAGATAAAACAGCACAAAAATATATGAGAAGTTTTTTTTTCTGTCTGCTTATATAATATAAATGTATTTATTTATTGAAAACTCTATCATCTTTGAGGCAAGACTGACTACAAAACACAGTCAGAAAAACACAGAAGCATTTGCAAGCTGTTCTTCAGGTCATAACACAAGTGCCTCCCTCAGTGAGGGAGTGACATTGCTTGCACTCTTGGTTAACAGTATAGATGTCTGTGATGTTTTATTGCCCCCTAGTGATAACAATTCATTTTTCCACTGCTTAGTGCTTTACAGATGTCCATAGAAACAAGAGCTTCCTGCCTCCTGCCTTCAACAAACTAAATCATAACTTAATACTTAGTGCTTGTATCAGATGAAGTTCTCAACCTCATAAAGAACCAGACAACAGAATGCTTACAGGAAATGTACCACCAGCATGGTTGGCTTGTCCCAGTGATCTTAAAGGAAAAGCTAAGAAGGAGGGAGCAATTGCTACCGGCATACAGGGCAAAAGCTTCAAAGGTCCTTTTCCTCAGCACAGAAGCTAACACTCAGTGCAAAGTTGTTGCTCTTGCAGAGTTTCTGGAAGGAGAGACTGTTGCCGTTGCCCATGTGGCATGCCACAGCAAAGAATACAAGCTGAGACCATCTACCTACCACGGACTCCACATTTGCAGTATTGGTAGTTGTTACTTTTGTAATTAAGTGCTACATTATCTTACAACTAGTTCATCTGTTTTTCCTCCGAAGTGAATGAGGGATATGCCTGCTTTTTCAGCTGAGGTCACCTACATGAAATGGCATGCAGCTGCAAGGATGCATCCAGGTTAAACAAACAGAAACTTTAGCTATATTCCTTCTAATAAAACTGAGTTTTGCATGTGTCTCAATTATCTGCTTTATTATTTGTATTGTGGTCTTCATAGCATTTCATATTTTAAAGCCACAAAAAAATACCCAAACCAAAATATAAGGAAGACCAGAACCCAGCAGCTGACCCTTAAAAACCTGCCTCTGTAACACATTCATCCTCTTTTCCTCTCTTTTTCTTTCCTGTGATTGACTTCACATTCTTATAAGGAAACTACAGATCTCTTGAGCACTTTCTAAAGACTGAAATCAGAATGCAGAGAAAGAATGACTGCTGATGCTGATAGTAGAACATAGCACTATGAGGAAACTCTGAAAATGCAGGCTATTGTCTCTGTCCTCGCTTCTGTACTCATCTTCAAAGGTAGGCTCTTCAAATGCTACTTGCTGCATTCCGAGATGCCTGGGAGAGAGCACTCTTAACAGGCTAAGGAACATGTATATTTGGGAGGTATGGATACAGTAAAGCTTAATATTACTGAAGTTGACTGATGGAAAGGTAACAACATTTTTAAAGGGGAGAGAGTCTTCAAGTTTCTCAGCTCCCTGGGTTCTTTACATCCAAATTTAGATTATCAAAGATGTCTTATATGTTTTGTTTTCTTCTCTTTAAAAATCAAACATGTAGCAAGGCTAACAAGGGTAAGTTGGATAAACGGTTTTGTTTG